GTGTGTGTGTGTGTATGTACAGCATTCTTATTGTGTATATGAGAGAGTGAGCGGGTGTGTAATCATTCGTGTTGTGTATGGGTGTGTGTGTGTGTGTGTTTGTGAGTGTGTGTGTGTAGCATTCGTATTGTGTATATGAGGGAGTGAGCGGGTGTGTACCAATCGTGTTGTATATATATATATATATATATATATATATATGTGTGTGTGTAGCATTCGTATTAAGTATATGAGGGAGTGAGTGGGTGTGTACCATTCGTGTTGTGTGTGAGTGTATGGGTGGGGGTGGGAGTGGGTGTGTTTCCTTGGCATAGTCTAGCTCAAGTGCGAATGTGTATGCGTTTCTGCCATACAGTTAGGTGGTTGTACGTGCCACTTACGACAGTACACATTAAGCATCCGAGACAATTATATATAGCCAACTAGCTGCTGTAGAGCCAACTAGCTACACAGCAAGACACAAGGACACCCAGTAAGTACTGCACGAAGGTAGATCACACACGTCTTCTGTGCGATCTCAATATGGGCAGTGCCGATATGCGCACGCACAACGACTCCGCCGTACACACACACACACACACACACACAGTTATGGCTAGACACACACGCTCAGTTATGGGTAGAATCGCCAAAAAACCCCCCCACGTATGTATGCATCTAAATTTGAGTCATTGAATGAGATAGGCTCCCTCCCGTGTGCACACACGATCCTCTGCACATGCTCATGCCCTACCTGCCACTCCGCCTCTCCCTGGGCGCGCTCTCGGCTGGTGAGGTGGCAGTGACACTGTCTACTGAGTTGCACATATCCGAAGGCGTGTCCTGCAGATTAATGCTCGTCTCACTGATAGTCCCGACATCTTCGCCCGCCCCAAGGTGCTCCGATAAGGTGCGGACGTCTGTGTACAGGGATGGTATATATCAGTGGGATATGAAATAAGTCCCAATCACCTGTGATAAGGTGCGGACGTCTGTGTACAGGGATGGTATGTATTAGTGGGATATGAAATAGAGTCCCAATCACCTGTGATAAGGTGCAGAAAAAAGTGTACAGGGATGGTATTTATCAGTAGGATATGGAATAAAGTCCCAATCACCTGTGATAAGGTGCAGACATCAGTGTACAGGGATGGTATACATCAGTAGGATATGAAATACATGCAGATCTCAAGCACACACTGTCTACTGAAAATCATTCGAAATTGGCACAAGTCCTCGGTCACATGCGTAGTCGCACGTAGGTGCGAGATACTAGACAGTCGCTGCATGCTGTGGCATAATGCCTTAGGCCATCTACCTGTGTGCCCAGTTAAGGGACCCCACTCGGCCTCTCCTGAAACAGGTGGCATAACTAACCACAGCCAAGCATCTCAAATTTGTCATAAAATTTCCCACCAACCTAGTAATCGAACCCACGGAACCAGCTCTGTGATATCTGCAGTTGGGCAAGTTGGGGCGGTGACAGCTAAAAGGAACAATACTCTCAAATATCTCGATTATTGGGAAGACTCAAATGACACGCTCTCATGCACCTGAGTTTTGTAACACGACCGTTTGTCCTGGTATATATACATGCGCACGCGTTAGAAGTCCAACCTGCCGCCATGCCCCCCTATGTACCCACACACAGTCCTAAACGAACCTGCGATGGTAGTCATGGCTACGAGGCTGGTAGGTACACAATACACGACACTACACTACCACCGACCCGTACGAGACACACAGCGTGCGCGTGCCACTAACGCACACACACCCCTCGCACCAACGGCCCCCTACGCCCCACATACTCAAGTGTGCACTATCTGGCTCCATCGCAGTGCTGTTGTCCGCCTTAGGCCCTGTACTCTCTTCGCCATCCTGGGTCTCTGCTGAAGGGGTGGTTAGTTCTGGTGGCTGTGTGTGTGGCATTGAGCCGCCTGGCGGTTCGGAGGACTTTGAAGCGTCGGCTGCTGTGGGTCCAGCGCTTGTGTGCTGCAGACGGGTTTGGTTAAGTAGTAATTAGATGAATGCGTTTGTGTGCTACAGACGTGTTTGGTTTGTAGTGATTGGATGAATGCGTTTGTACGCTGGTCTAAAGTAGAGCATCCTCCCACAGTCACGATTATTTGCAACTAGCTGATAAACCCCCCATGCACCATAAGACATAGCGCTGTCGTACGCTTTCGGTATATGTATACGTATACGTACACGTACACGTACACGTACGAGAACTCAGTGAGTAGGCGTAGTGGTTACTTCACAGCAAGCGTTTGCTATGGAAGCGTGCATGGCATGTCATTTCTCAGTAGGTTACTTTGTAGGGTTGTAGGGTTTAGGTTGTCTCGAAGTTGTACGATTGTCGATAAGAATGCATGCAATATTCACGTGAGCGCGAGAAAGTGCAGCGGACGGAACCCGCACATTTTTGTGGTCAAATGTACAAACCATGTCGCAGAAAAAACTGCTGCCCTGGCCGTAGTGTACACTAATAGGGCACGAAGGGCTCCACCACTTGCCAATAGTGGACCGGACAGGCCCAAATTCGGGGAGGACAAGTCGAACCCCACCCACACGGACAAAACAAATGTATACACACTTCTACGCAGAACCAAATACCCCCAAGTATCTGTATACTACTACTACTACTCCAAATACTCACACTTAGGTACAAAAAAGATTACATACCGACGCTACGCCTGTCACGGGTGTGCTGGGCTCCGCCGTGGGCACGTCTCTGTGAGTCGTCTCAGTTGCGAGATTAGGCAAGCCTGCCTTTGTCCTGGCTTCGTGGATGGTCCTCTGCATGTTCATCTGCAGCATTTGCTTGGACATGGAAGTGGCCCATTTGAACGGCACGGGCTTAGCCGTGCTATCGAAAACACTCAGCAGGTAGTTGTCGGCGTGCTCGATTAGTTTCCTGTGGGTGTCGCGCGGGTGTAGAGGTGAGTGGACCCTTGTGACGATACGGGTGTGGTGAGGTGATTCGGTGGTATTTCCCATCTCAATTAACCACTCCGAAAACAAAAAGTGTATTAAATAGGGTATAGACGTCCCAGATAATGTCTCACGCGAGCACAGGCCGTGCTACCCGCGGCGTGTACACATGGCCACCACAAATCTCTTCGGCGTCTCTCAAATAAACACTTAATATACACATCGAGTATATACATATATACCATATAAAATATAAAATATAGAGATAAAATAC